CCGTCGTGCCGCCGCTTCCTCACCCTCCCTCCCTCGCCGCCACCTGAGAAAGCCGCCGGATCCACTCGTGCGGCCGCCCGTGATGGTGGCGGCGAGGCCTCGGTCGCTCCTTTCCTCGAGGAGGACCTCGGATCTGGGGCGGCGGCCCTTCTTGGCGAGGCGGCGGCGCCTTCTCGGCCGGCGCCGTTCACGGGTGTGCTCTGGCCGGCGGCCTCGACCACGCGGGTCGTGAGACGACGGCGGGTGGCGGCGGCGGCGCGGAGGTCTTCCCCTCCTCGTCCCCGCCGCTTCTCGCCAGCCTTCCTCTGAGCGCCGGTATGAAGTGGGTGGGTGACCGGTGGTCTGGTTTTGGGCCGCGGAAAACCATTGGCCGGCTTGGCAGCAGTGACGTCCCCGACGCTGTCTCCTCCTTGGAGGTGCTGCAGAGACCCTTCCCCTTTCCACCCCTGTTCCTCCTCCCAGGTGAAAGCCCAAAACCAGGCTTGGATTTGGCGGCGACGGCGCGCTGTGCGTCGTGTCTTCCTTGGGGGCGCCGCATGGGGAGCGTTGCGTTCAAGTGAGGGGTTCAAAGGTCGGAGCTTGGGTGGCTTGGGTGGCCCAGTGACGGCGGTGTAACGAGGTTTGGCATGGCTATAGGCATCCCCGTCGGCTGCCTGGCAATGCTCCTCGGTGGCCTGTCGGTTTTCTTGATGCCTCTGCTGCCTTTCTTCAGTAGCTGCACCTGGTGGTTTTCCTGCAGCTCTCAGGCGTTCTAGGTTGTGGCGATGCGGCAGTCGCGGAGTGCTCGAATGTTCAAGTGGTGATGTGCTGCGGCTGCTCCAGGTCTCGAAGCTGACACGTCCCCTGCACTAGGGTGAGCGTCTCTCAAGTCCGTCGCGTACGGCACCTTGCGAGCCATGGCGAGAGGGAAGGGTCCCTCTGCGGCGAGAGACGGCGGATGTGTGTTGTCTTTCTACTTGGGCGTTGGTCGGGCTCATTTACCACACTCTGTTGCAAGCAGGTCCTCGTCGTGCTCGTGTGTGGCTCACCCCTAGATGGCAGTTTGGTTGTAGTCTTCGGCTAGAACAAGCTTCGAGCTTTGTATTCATTTCGAGCTTGTGCGACCCGTTGAGTTGTAAGCCTCCTAGAGTGTCCCCTTGTATAGTTTGGTCATGGGGGTTTGTGTGTGTTTGTATTTCCTGGCCGGTTGATGGCTTTATTAATTCAAAGCCGGGCTCTCCACGAGCCTTCGTTCTAAAAAAAAGTACAAACCTCTGCCACATGGATCACAATATCGCAAAGGAACCCCATCGAAAACACACCGACAAAGAAATCAGACACAATAACCCAAAAAGGAGAGTAAACCATCAACCATGCAGCTGCGGATGCCCTTCGAAAGGCATCTTCAAGGCGGACTCGTAAACCTTCCGCAACTATCTGAACCATGCTGTCCGGATCGTCGAAGCCATCCAACGTGGTTCTATATCGATTCGCGGCACGGTCCAGACTTGATTTCTCCCATTACGGAGACAAAAGTGGGGAAGGCTTGCGGGAGTCCGGACCGATCCCAAGCACACTTTTGACTGCCCTGACCCACCAAAAAAAACCTCCCCTTCCCGAGCGCGCACCCCCTGGCGTCAGCTGCCCGCATTCATGCGGCTGTAGAGCGCGCCGCTCCGCATTGAAGCTGGCACAGGACGGACGCGGCCTCTCACTGTCTCCGCCATTGAAGCGATGCGTTGGCCGAGGGCGCCACCTGCTGCACGCCCGGCTGAACACGCCTCCTTCGTGCGTTCATATACCTCCATTAACCCCGCGTGGAAGCCGAAAAAACTACTCCAGCCACACGTCCGCTCATCAGCGGGCCGGCTTTAAACGCAATGCCAGCCGAGCCTCCTCCGTTTGCCCTCTATTTAAAGGAGGCCAGACGTCGGGCAAGAAGCACACCCCTTCGCTGCTCCCCATATCTCCTCCTTCACCCCTCTTCTGATGGCTTCCGAAGAGCAGTTCTCCAGTATATATGCCCGCTTGGTGGCCCACCGAGCTCGGCGGATACGAGCAAGGTAGCTCGTTGCTCCACCTACCTCCCCTAGGCTGATGGAGCAAGTTGCTGCATCAATCGTCGCGTGGTTCAGCAACTCACCGCCCGATCCCAGCTCGAGGAGTGGCGAATTGCTCCACGTCACCACGATGGGGAGCATGGCATTACGGACGTCATCGCTGCCGTCGACGATGACGCGTTGTACCGTGCCTCCCGTGTGTCACCACGCCATCCATGTCTGCGACCGTGCCTCCCAAGCCTGCGACCGCGTCTCACGTGCCTGCGACCGCTTTTCCCGTGCCTACGAGTGCGCCATGCAGGTAGAGACAAAAGCAGGTGCGTGGAGAGCGATGTGTCGGCGGCCCGCGCGTTCGTGCCTGCCACCGGCAATGAGGAGAAGTAGAACACGGGAGGCCGCCACCGCTTGGGTCCCATGAAGGTCACCGTCGAGGAGACGCCGGTGTACATAGACGGTGCCTTGCCCGGTTCTTCTCTTGCGAGGACCTTCGTCAACCCCGCATGGGCTCCACGGAAGAAGCGGCCCCTTCCCATACCGGTGAAGCATTAGCAGGGGGTTCCACTCTAATGAGCGGAGGGGAAGCGAGCCGTCCTTTGCGCTGAAGCATATACCACCAGCACTCCTGGTAGTCCGGTGATCGGGCTGCCGGACATGAGGAAGACAAAGGGATCCACGGGCGGCGCTTTAGATTAGGGTCAGGTCTATTTTTTTTGGTTCTAGATGTTCAGAATGTAATGAAATCCGACGTGTTTGTATGAAATCCGCTGTGTTTGCATGAAATTCGGACAAGTTTGCATGAAATCCGGCTGCGTTTGATCGAATTTCGCCGGATTGGTTCGAGTTGTTGTCAAAATATATGCGGCTAGCGTTGGATGGCATCCTTCCGCATCTATGTCCATGGACAGACATGGAAGAAAATTTGCGGCTTGCCCTTGGAGATGCCCTAAATGGCACCACTCATCTTGCTTTTGCTCTCAAATGATTTGACCTTGGAGATGCGAGAACGATGACTATAGCACACTCTCTTTCGCTTGTCCCCAATTGCTTTCTCCTTCGTAAGGCAACCAATCCTCTTGCAAGATGCAGGGCTAGCAACCTTGAAGCTGACAATTAACTGGCGAAGCGCAGAGAGACCCCAAAACAGGTGCCAATGCACCGGACGCCGCAACCTAGTCACCCATGGTCGATGGGCTTAGGCGAGTGGAAGATACCAGCGCCCAAGCCTTCATGCTCCACGAAGACAAGCGCCTAGCTGGGTTCCGGGTGGTTGGTGTGGTGTACCGTCGTTATAGAGGTGAAGCGGGCTCTGCACACGCCGTCTCTAGCTAGGGCATGATCGGCAACATCAGAGCCACGCGACAACGGCAATGTCCTCGCTCATAAGTGAAGAGGACAACGGCAATGTCTCACGCACAAGGACAACGACAAGTAGCGCACTATATAAGTGCGCGTACTAGACGCACACACGCAAGTAACCCCTCATACTCATACAAGAAAAACATACTACTAGTAGTCAGCCACGCGTAACCAGGCAGCATGAGCCTCAAAGTTTCAAAAAGAAGCAGCATGGGCCTCAAGGCCGTGTACCAGCACATAGTGGACAACATCCTCGCTGTTGTCACCACATCCTGTCTCGTCGCCATGGTGCGTCTCGGTCCAGCGGAGCTCATCAACTGGCTCCGTGAGCTCCCGCCAGCGCACCTGTTCTTGGCGGGCTTCGTCCCGGCCGCAGCGGCCACTCTGTACCTCATGCTTCATCCGCGTGCGGTGTACCTGATCGACTACGCCTGCTTCGACACCCGCCCGCTCGCCCGAGTCCCCATGGCCTCATTCATCGAGTACACCAAGCATACAACCACCATCGACGAGCGCAGCATCCGGTTCATGTCGCGGCTGCTGGAGCGCTCCGGGCTCGGGGAGGAGACCTGCCTGCCGGCGGCGCACCACTACGTCCCCACGCACAAGTACTGCACCCTCGGGAACGCCCGGGCCGAGTTCGAGCTCGTCGTCTTCTCGACCATTGACGACCTGCTCGCCAAGACCGGCGTCTCTCCGGACGCCATCGACGCACTCGTACTCAACTGCAGCCTGTTCTGTCCAACCCCGTCCTTGGTCGACATCATCGTCAACAAGTACAACCTGCGCAGCGACGTCCGCAGCATCAACCTCTCCGGCATGGGTTGCAGCGCGGGTCTGATCGCCGTGGGGCTCGCCAGGAACCTCCTGCAGGTTCTTCCCCAAGGCTCCCGCGTGCTGGTCGTCTCCACGGAGACCATCACCCCGAACTACTACGTCGGCAACGAGCGCGCCATGCTCCTGCCCAACTGCTTGTTCCGCGTCGGCGGAGTGGCCGCGATACTGTCGACGTCCCCCGTGAACGCCCGGTTCCGCCTCAAGCATGTCGTGCGCACCTTGACCGGCGCGAACGACGACAGCGCGTACGGTGCGTGTTCCAGGAAGAGGATGACCAAGGGAACGTCGGGATCAACCTCAGCAAGAACCTGATGGCCGTCGCCGGGAGTTCCCTCCAAGCCAACATCACCGAGATCGGGCCGCTCGTGCTACCCTTCTCCGAGCAGCTTCTATTCGTCCTCTCCTTCGTCGCACGCAAGCTGCTTCGCGGCGCGCGGGTCAAGCAGCCCTACATCCCGGACTTCTCCAGGGCGTTCGAGCACCTGTGCATTCACGCCGGCGGCCGCGCCGTCATAGACCAGTTGCAAAAAAAGCTCGGCCTATCCGACGAGCAGGTGGAGGCGTCGCGGATGACACTGCACCGGTTCGGAAACACGTCGAGTAGCTCGCTATGGTACGAGCTCGCCTACATCGAGACCAAAGGCCGGATGCGCAAGGGCAACCGCGTTTGGATGATTGGCTTCGGCTCAGGGTTCAAGTGCAACAGCGTGGTGTGGGAGTGCATCCAACCAGCTGCCCGCCACACCCATGGGCCGTGGACCACCTCTATCCACAGGTATCCGGTGGACATTCCCGACGTGCTAAAATAAGTCAAATTCTTGAATTTTGACCAAGTTTATGAAGAAAGTTATCTATTCTACTATACCAAATAAAAATATATTGCATGAATCTAATGATGTTGATTTGGTATCGTAGATGATGATATTTTTTTAAACTTGATCAAAGTTTACAAAGTTTGACTTTAAAAATTCTAATATGCACTATATTTTGGGATGGTGGGAGTACTACATAATAAGTGAAAAACACACACGTAGCCTTAATATTATAATCATATGAGATGTTGTGAGAAACCCTAATTAGTTGTAATTACTGTGTTTTAGGGTACCCTGAAGGGTACCCCTAAAGTTACACATTTATACTTCTATAGGCAGGAGAAATAAAAAAAAACAGTGTTTCTGTTTTTCTTCTAGTTGCTCTCTCCTCTAGCAATTGTATATCTAATGCCAGGAGGATGTTAGTATAAGCACAACACGTGGGTTAGATTTGGTCATTAAGTTTGTAACAGGATCATCGATCTATAAGGTGATTCCCAAGTTTATTAAAGTCCTTCCGGTTGAGTCAAATGTCGTGTGAAGGTGTTGTAAATCGGGGTTCGAGTTGTATTCCCGATGGCATCCTATTGTCTTGTGTCATCTTGGGTGTCAGTGTCAGTCTAATATAAAGCTATGGGAAATATCCTAAAAGGCCCCAAGTTATTGCGGCGCCAAAATATTTTCTCTCTTCGTGTTCTCACATGTGTTGACAACGACTAGATTGCATCTGATATCCAGGAGAGAAGGTCGAAACTGGCATCAATGCTTGTAGAATAGGCTTAAATTTATTGGATGTTAAGTTTATGAGCAGGGCCGTACTACGGAAATGAGAGGCCCTGTGCGAATAAAAATTAGGCTCTATTTGTGGAAGAAAAACAATCATTCTTTTGTCAACACTGCAATTTTTCATAAGAAATTACACCAGTTGGAAGCACAAGTTCAAAAGACCCGCCGACATCACATACTACATTGAGGGATCGTGATTGGAGATAGATACCTAGGGTTGCTTGGCGTGAAATGGTTCCCATAGTTATCTACTCTAGTTCTAATGCTCCAATTAATACCTTGATTAACAAAAAAATTTGAGGACCATCTGATGCTGGGGGCCCCTGTTCAGTTGCTTCTGTTGCGCATGTGGACATACGGCCCTGTTTATGAGTCCACGATGGATGTGTTTGTCGTCCAACGTTTCGTTTTAGCTCAAAGGTAGTGGCGGCGATTGTGGTCTCTTATTTCATATTTCTGTGCTCTTCTTCTTTGGAAGATACAAGCAGCACAACATTCTCTCTTGCACTTGGTGTCTCCCGGGCAACAACATATTCAAAAGTCTTAACATGTCACTCGATCAATACGTACCTCTTGAATTTCAAAGATATATTTGCAAACAGTTTCTATATATGAATTCTAAATGAGTATGGTAATGACTAGTTACGAATCTATACCGCACTGTTTCCACGTAGATCAGTCTGCCTGTATTGTTTACAGCTCTCAATTTCCTTTCAAAGCTTTGGGTTGTATCGCCTAGGCCATTCTGGTTTACGAATGATGAAACGTAATGAGTAGCACTCATGGTCATATATAGCACCTTGGGTGTCCTGATCTTTCCATGTGCACTGGAGGTTCATGGATTCAAAAACGGTTCAATAATTTCAAACAAGTTCAAGAATTCAGAGAAGTTTGTGAATTTCAAAAAATGTTCACGAATTTCAAATATTCTAATGTATTTATTTACCAGGGTTATTTCCTGTTTTCGCTTGGGGCACAAGAAGTACATATGCATGCAAACAAGATCAAATACAACTCATGAGTAAGAAAATTTGGGATCAAAGGAGAAAAAGAATCTAAGTCGCTCACCTATTGCCGTCGACATAACTCACCGAGTTTTCATAAGTTATTTTTTTTTCTCAAGTCATATTTTTTTCTTAAGTCATTCTTTTAGTTTGATCAATTTCCTAGAAACAATATCAACATCTACAACACCAAATCAATATCACTAGACCTATCATTAAATATATATTCATATTTTTTTGCTTCAGTTATGTTTATTTACTTTTCACATGGGGCTTTAGAAAGTTGGTATGAGTTGCTAACAATTGCCACGAGCAAAAACAGACTCAGGGGAAAAGAGAAAAATTTCCTTGTTGCTCGTATGTTGCCACCCAACGACTATTATTGCATTAATTTGGAGTAGGATATGTATATAATTGCACTGTCTCATTCACTAGAGGAGTGCAAGGATATGGTTAAGATTTAAGAGCAAGTGTCATGCAACCTTGCCTTGTATAGAAAGCAGCAGTTGAGGATACCAATCGATCGCTTAATAGGTATCGAACGATCCGACCAAAATGTAAAAGAAACAACACAGTCACCTATGACAACAAAAAGAGGGGACGTGGCACACAAAGGCATTGAGAGAAATGGGGAACTATTCTACACAATCGACCATCATAAACTAGCACAAGAAGGTTGTCATGCTTAGAATATTCTTGTCTGGACCATCACTTCTATGCACCGTCCTCAAAGCAGTGACATCCACTATGATAAAATATGATGGTTCTATAGAATTATGGAGTAAAGAACTGATAATTTAGTTCTCAAAAACCAACTAATTGCAAGTGGTCTAGATTGGCCAAACATGTGCTGCACACACCATCCAGCCAAAGATAATTCACTTTTGTGCCCCATTGACCTGAGTCTAGCTCTAATAATTGTTGGAAATATGAGCAATTTACCATATGATTTTATTAACGGAAATATTGAATAAAGCATGACTAAAATAGCAGAGATAAAGCAAGTCATGCGATCTGACAGAGAGAAGGTAAATATCATCTTCACATATGAACTGTAGGCAAACATATCTAGGGCAAGCAACATATATGAAGTAGAGCCTAACATATATAGGGAAAACAGTAGAACAAGGAACTGTGACATGACCTCTAACAGAAAGAGTAAGAACACGTACGGGACAGCAGCAATAGCAGTAGCACTGGACTTGGGGTCGGTGTCCTCGCCAGCCATGTCGTCGAGGAGGTTGTCGACGTCAGGGAAGAAGTCGTCGTCGGAGTCCGTGACGAAGGAGTGGAGTCAGTAGTCACGCAGAGCATTCCCAAAAAACCTTATCACCCTTCTCTCGTACAAGACTCAAAAGGTGCGGTTTCGGAGGCCTAATGTCCCGACCTGCAGTGCACGCAGCAAGCCGGGATGGGGAATATTGTAGCAGCAGCGCAGTGCTTAGGAACCGGCGAGGCGTGGCGTGGAGAGGCGGGCGGCGGAGGAGCGCGCGTGGATGTCCCTCTTATTCTTATGCTCATATAAGTGGGGAAAGAACCTCCCTTATAAAGAGGTCCAACTCCCTCTAAACTAGCAATGTGGGACTAAACTTTAGTTCCACCTCTTGCCTTGCACGAATGGGCTGCGTGGGCCTCTAGGATTTATTAGGAATTTCTGAAATTGCTATTGTGCTAAGCCCAAATAGACAAAAATTCCAGCAATCCCCCATCAGATCCTAGAGGCACACAAAATTTGTCTTTGGTTCCAAAACACTGTTTTATATACCGGTACTGCAGTGGAGATTAAGTTGAGCTTTCACCTAGAACTCTATGCTACACTAGTAAGCAACTTGAACAGTGGACTGAGCCTTGAACTGCTAGTTTTCTGCGAATCTAGTTAACACAAAGCCTTGACCGATACGTGGCTACCGTGGGTCTTCCCCGCGGGTGGAGCTTACGCGTCATACTCCGAGACCTTTCATGAGTTTACTAGAGAGAACCCTACTCTCATATATTGCGACATTTAACAATCAGACTCATATAGGTGCGTTCTTCAAAAGATGTTCTGCAGGACAACATCTCTGCTTCAAAAAGCCACTTAGAACACATTAAGATATACATCAACCTGCCATGCAGATTAGGAGAGTATTGCATCTTTATGGAGTGGTATTTTTTAACAGTAAGGGTACTCTCCTCCTAGTTGACCAATAGCTTGTCTTCCACATCTAATTCACGGGATTTCCGATCACAAAGAATAGGTTACCACTGTGGACAACTCATATTGTGGGTCTCATACCCATCTCCCTTGATGCATTATCTATCACATTACGTGATAGACCCTTAGTAAAAGGATCTGCCAGATTTTTAGACGTTTGGATATAATCCAAAGTAATAACTCCGGAATTTCTCATTTTTCTGACAGACTTTAACCTTCTCTGAACGTGTCTTGATGACTTCATGTTATTCTTTGAGCTGTTCACTTTCGTGATCACAGTTTGATTGTCGCAGTTCATAAGGATACCTTGTACAGGTTTCTCAACAACGAGCAAGTCATTCAAGAGCTGGCGAAGCCAATCTGCTTCGACCATAGCTGTATCTAGTGTTGTGAGTTCTGCTCCCGTCGCCAACTACTCTGCGACCGACGCCGCCAGCTCCTCGTCACTGTCGCCGCCCCCGTCTCCGCGCCCTCGCCGTCGCCGCCCCTGCCTCCGCGACCTCACCGTCGTCCAAC